TGTTGTAGCGATTGAGGTTCCATTCCTGCTACCTCCAATTTCATGGTGGACAAGCCTTACAGATCATTAGTATCAGTACCATTAAATTTGAATGTGTCCTTATAGGTAGGTATGCCCAAATTGCCCCTTATGTCCTTGTGCACCATGTGAAATGGATTCAATTAATTAGCTGGTTGTTTTAGGACAATTCCAGCTGAGATAATGTCTTAAGTTGAAAAAAAAATACCTTGTTAAACCACTTGCTTTCTTATCTTTCCACCTCTTTTCCTGACTCTTAAGAAATAGACACTATTTCAGACTTTTCTAGTACTCAGCATTTACCTGACAGGAGATCATGAGACAAACCAGGCTATTCTGACTCAGCAAGCCAATTAGGTCATTATGGGAGTGCTTTTGTTTCCATTACTGATCACAGGATGGAACAAGTATGTTTGATTTTCTTATAAACATCATCATAATACCAGACAGGGAGCCTAAACCATTTACTTCGAGGTAGGCGCCATGACATTCTTTCCTGCTCACTAAATGGAAAGCAACAATGCTGCAGACTGGGATGGATTCCTCCACCTACTCAAGTATAGCATTTCTACTGAAAATGAGCAATTTATCTCCTTTCTACTTTGTCCTTTGGTTAAACAAAACAGTGCTGGAATACACAACAGATGTATTTACTGCAGAAGAAATGTAAAAACACTTTTTGAAGTAGCCATCCTGTAAAGCAAATGACCAAACCCAGGTCAGAGTCCGGAAGTAAAGGCTTTGTACAGTTAAAAGTCCATAAAAAGCAACAGACAGGCCCTTAGCTTCAGCAGACTTAGGATCCAGCCAAAGGCAAGGCCTCCTTCATCTCAGTGCTTTAGCCTTCACAGGATTCACCTAATAACAGCAGAGACTGTTTGCTTGACTCATTGTGTTTGTGATCAGATTCTTGCAGATCAAAGCTCTTCAGTTTTGCTTCCCAAGCCATCATTGAGCAGCTGCTGGAGGATCATGAGTCACCTCTGTGTGGACTATTGACCTTTCTGAGGCAGAACCAGACAAGTTCAAGATGTTCTATAATTTCTAAGCATTTAGTCACATCTCTGTAAATGGGATATGTGAGTCTGATACTAATCCAGTAGCTGGACATTTGCTTTGTCCGAAGTGGAAGAGTCTGTGGTTTCTGAGGATACTGTTAGGAGATTTTTTCCTTTAGCTATGTAAACGTGCTTAAGTCATGATCAATCACAAATGCAGAGCCAAAAGCAGCTACCACACAGGTCAGCTTCTCAAGTCATTGCAATCGGTAACAAATGCCCATTCACCTCACTGGAATCAGGGTTGTGTGCCATATGACATCTGTCACCCTTCAGGCCTTCAACAACCACATTTGTTTTCCCCTGTACACTTTTGGGTTCTTTTATTGACCATACTTATAGGTCCTTTGAGAAAAAATGGTGATTTTCCTGTCAGATTTCCCTATTTGTCTGCTTACATACAGCTGCTAGTCTGCTTAGAAAATGGGAAATAATTCAAAACCAGTGTATGACGAAGGTTGTGTTGCCTATTTTTTTTGCCTTCATTTTTTAGGCTGGCTCAGGGAAATGCTACTCACAGCAAAATCTGTAAACAGCATAAATGCAAAGTTATTCAGGCTTTCAGATATTAAACTTCAGTGTTTTGTACAATGAATCAGATTGACACAGCTTTCAACAAACCATTGCAATAACTGCCATGGAAGTGAAGTGCTGTATAGCCACCGTATTTTGGGCTTTGGGAGAAAGAATAAGGTTTTGCATTGCCATAGGCAAATACTATTGAGTTCTAATATTTTTTAAATTTTCAGGCTAATATATATGTTTGGGAATCAATAAGAAAAGCTGGCTAAGGCAAGTATGTGACTGTTTTACCGCAAGTCTAGAAGTAGGGAAGTCAGCTTTTTTATAACCTTATTATTCCTATATGTTACTTGCCAGTGCTTTAGCACAAATCAGCTTTCCAAAGGATTTTGGAGCTAACGGTTAATCTTTATGAGCAATGCAAAATGCATTATGTCATAACATGCTGACACACAGATCTACATCTGAGCACAGAGGGGGTGTCTTGAACAGACTAAGTCTTCCCAGATGTAACTTTCCTTTGGAAACCTATTTAATACTATCATTCTGCCAAAGACCGCAACAATTTTCATTGCAGCACTTCTAGCTTATTTCTTAATTCATTTAACAATGTCCAGAAACTTAGAAGCAAATCTTAATGTCATTATATCCAGATGTCTTCAATTTTGTCCCTTTCTTTCTGTTAAAGGGTGCCACCTACTGTAGAATGACTGAATGACAGCCTTTTAAAGATGCAGACAAATCTGCCTTATTTCCTTATTACTGTAAAATTCTGACAGTTACACTGTGACACACTTTAAATTTCCATGCTTTTCATCGATGTTATTGACTAAAATATAGAAAGGTGAGTATTCTCAGTGTGAAGAGTGTCTTGAAAACACAATCTTTTGTAACCAGCAGTGCAAAGATAGGAGAAAAGGCTCTTTTCTGCTCCCCATTCAAGCTGTCCTCTTCACTGTAAGTCAGCATGATCACATCTATGGAAATAACAAAATAACAAAGAAAATCAATGAAAATTAAAAAAGGATGAAGAAAAAATGGACATATGAAAATGCAAATCCTTGAGTATGGATTTCCTAGTGAACAGGCACATTGCTGTCTTAGATTGTTGAAAAAAAAAATGCTTTTGAAAGGATAAGAGAATGATACCAAGAAAATCTGAATATTAAAAATAATCAAACACATGTTATGGGTACAGAAGTGTGTGTACACTATGTGTTTTTTTAATGTGTGTATGTAATTCATATAACTGTATGTCACGTGTGCACACAGTAATAGTATTTATTCTTCCAGATCTGTAGCACAGTACTTTTATTCAACAATTATGTATAAACTGTATTTTGACATCAAATAGGTAAAGATCACTGTTCCTTTCCTCATTATGTTTGTAAATGAGAAGGACACTTTAACCTGTGGAGCTGGGAAGTGCTTAAGCAGGGTGTCAGCTGAGTACCTCACTCTCTGGTGAATTGGATCTATGCCTACCCGTGCTCTCCAGGGTGTATCCATCCATCCAGCTCCTTTTAGAGGGGTAACGAGCTCTGACCTCCCTAGTAGCTTTGACATTATTTTGCCTCCCACAGCATACTGCTTTCGAGGTCGTCTTGTGCACAGCGAGCCGCTCGTACACCGAGCTACTCAGCTTTTGCCACTTTGTAATACATTTTTTTTCATGAGTCATTAGAGAGACTATGAAAAAGTTTTCATTCATAACGTCACACTTCTCATTTTTAAATGCGTTTCAGCCTCCTTGTTGGTCAGGAAACATTTGTCTTTACTCTTCTCAAGGCTGGGCAGTTTGGTTTTTTCCAGAGGGCCCACAGTGAAATCCTGGTTTGTTGAAGGAGGAAAACGTTTCTTGCAGAAACAGTCAGCAATGAATTAAGCAGAGAATCATCTTATTTACCTGGGGCCCACTGACATGTAAAGAGAAAAAGGAAAGCAGTGTGCTAACACAGTAGTAAAAAAGAGAAAAAAAGAAATGAAAGATGCCGCACGTGAGAAAAGAAAAAGGATGGCGTAAGACACAGGAATGGACTGCACCGTAAATTTGGACTCAGTCTTGTACTACGTAATTCTGACCATCACAACACTTTGATGGCATTCAGAATTTTCTGTCTGGAGCCAATGGTAACTTTAGTGTCTGAGCTTTGAATTACACCTTTTGGTGTTGGGGTGGTTTTTTTTTTCTTTTTGAAGGATGATGTGTAGTAGGTAACTTATTCTGATATTAAAACTTTAAGGACAATGTAGGTACACAAATAGCTCTTTATCCAGAATTCTGTGTTTCTAAATAGGATTATTTTGAATTAGTAATTAAAAAAACCTTATTGCATTATTCAGGACATTTACTGATACTTAGATTTGCAGAAGTTATATTCTAATAACTTCCACAAAACTTACAAGGAGCTTGTCTAAAATTTGTAGTGTTATTTTCGTATCTGTTTCTTAAATGACCAGGCTTTCTGGATCTTATTTTTCTAAGAAAATAACAACTCCAAATTTAATGTTTGAATTTGGCTTTCATCACTTTCTTCAGGTTCATCATCTACAGCAAATCTGATCAGTAGAATAGTTGTTGGAAGGAATTCAGAGAGACATGAAAATTAGAGATGAACAATGATTTTTTTTTTTTCAGGAAATAAGGACGCTTGTAACATTTGAGCGAGCCGGATGACACATTAATTGCACACCATTTGGGCAATTAATGCGCACATTCTTTTAGATCTGTCACATACATTGGCTTTCAAAAAGCACTTTGAAAACACTTGGTGCTAGCTATTCATACAAGATGCTACCTACAAGAGTTTGTGGTGGACAGACTGCTTATTCCGCATCCGTGTGTACGGGTTCGTGTTGGCACGTGGGGGCCAATGATACTTGTTTGAGAGATTTGGCACATTTGCTGTTTAGCTGCAGCAGAGAATTCAATTGCTAATTACACAGTGACTCAGTCTGACACTAAAATTACTCGAGATGGAAGATTATCACAGATTTAATTGGGTTTTGGATCCTCTCCATGAGGTTTCCATTGATGTCTATTTATAGATTCATAGCAGACTCTGCAATTAATGTAACAGTCCCTCCCAGTGTCTGCAGAGAAGTATTTAGCCTTTTACTTCACTCACACGAAGTATATCACGGTAGAAAACAAGACAGACTATCCAACAGCTTTAATGTTATTAATCTTTGATTTGGAAAACACATTTGAAATAATATTGAACACTGTTTTGTCTTTCTTTCCAGTCACAGGATGTACCCATCTTGGGCAGGTTTACGCTGACAGGGATGTTTGGAAACCAGAGCCATGCCAAATTTGTGTGTGTGACTCGGGATCTGTTCTCTGCGATGACATCATCTGTGACGATCAGGAGCTGGACTGTCCCAACCCAGAGATTCCCTTTGGAGAGTGCTGTCCAGTTTGTCCACAAACAACACCACAACCTACAAGAGTAAGTTTGCTCTCAATGTTGTTACTTTGGTATTGCTGTCTTTTTAATCCATGTCAACCTCAATTCATTTTCTTTTACATACTCTTAGACACTTTTAAATGCTAAGCTTGTCACTTTCTGACTCTAGGCAAATACATAGGATAGGCAAATTTTGCTAAATCAAACTTAAAAAAACAGCTTTAACTTTCACAGAGTATGGGGGTTTTTTTTGTTAAATTCAAGAATACTGCTGTATTCTACAAGAGAATTGGTACCAGATCCGATAAAACACTTGTTAGTCATTTGGGCTATGCAGCTGAAAGTCCTTCAACACAGTTTTACATAAACAACAGGCACAGAGAAATAGCAGAAATAGAGGGCAAAAATTAGCCATTACCTCTTTCTTTTTATGGAGAAGTATATAAACAATGCAAAGAGCTTATTTGTTGGCTGCATGCTCAATCTACAGCCATGAAACTAACGCTAACACAGAGTTGAGGAAAGTTAGACAATTTTCACAGCATACTACAAGTCTACATTTTTTATCAAACTGTTTGTACATCATCGCAGAGTAAATTTTCTTTCGCAGTTGTTGCTGACTCAGTGCCCTGTAAAGGAAAGGTGATTCAAGCCCTACATCCCTGAAATATCATCATCTTGTTTATAGACACCAACAATATTTAAACCAGTTGCCGCAACTTAACCTCGGGAACATCAAGAATGTTAGTGCACACCAAGTCCCCTGCCTAAACCACTTCAGTGAATGAGCCAGCTATGCTGAGCTCTGAGACTATCTGAACGTTTCATCCTTGTCTAAGATCCATGAGAATCTGTTAAAGTGCGTAGATTTCCACAGGTACATTGAAGATTCTTATCCAGAAAAGAGTGAAGAGATGGGTATATGGAAGAGGAAGGGACATGATGTATTTCTGCAGCTCTGTAATATATCTGCTTAAACATGAAATGCCGTATACGAATACATCACCGAGTGTTAGTTGCACCATGCTAGTGCAACTGTACGGCTTTTAGGATTACCTGAGTGACTGCACTGAACAGTTTTAGAGGTGTGAATGAACCCCAGTCATGCTGGGGATTTAAGCATAGCTCCCTCTCTTGTTGAGGCTAGAGACTCTTTTATCAGGTCTGTGGTTCCTGTTAATAAAGGACATGTGGACTACTTTCCCCAGCCTCTGTCTTCAATATATAACGGTTTGGTCAGCCCACTGCAAGCTGTCCTGCTGGCCTTGGATGGTGCACAGGGAAATGCCGCCTTGAGAGATCCAAGATAGGTTCAGCTGAATATTCTTTGCTACCACTAGCAGCTGAATACATAAGAACTGTTCTGAACTATTATTTGAGAATCCAGATAGTAACGTGTAACTGAATTATTACTTGAAAATTATATAAATTGGAGGAGCAGATCTGAGAAATTAAAATTAGCTGCATTATCACACTTAACATGCTGGACTGAGAAGGATACAAGAAAACAGTCTCTTGCAGCTTTCCACAGTGGCCTTCTGTCCCCATTGTGCTCAGTGGCAAAGCATTGTTGACTGCATTAGTGCCATGGTTTTGCCTGCAGGAGAGATGTCGCTATGGATGAACCATGAAAATGCAGATGAAAGACTGTCCAAAACCCCTACAGCTTTTTGATAAACTGAACAAGAATCAATGGAATTCATATGATAAAACTATATTCCTGTGTTTAAATGCTTTGTCCTCTTGTTTATATATGTATGCATACATATATTCAGTATTTGGTTTTATTTTTATTTTCTTTCTTAATTTGATCACTTTTCCTTTTTTTCTAGAGTACAGAAGTAGTCAGCCGTGGCCCTAAAGGAGACCCTGTAAGTGCAGCTTTTTTCTTCTCCCAAGGAAATTAACAAAATCAAGAGCCAATTTCTATAGTGCTATTACATCCCATTCATGCTGCTGAGATATCCAGTTTACATTGATGTCTGCACTGTCTGCAGGACTGCACCATATAGTTATTGTGAAGTAGCCCTTTAACTTCAACAAAGTTCAAAAATTTAAACTGGAAGAACAGGGAGAGAGACAGAGTTTAGTCCAAACTGTATTACTTTTGTTGTTGTTTATTATAATTCCTCCCATTGTGAAGGGAAGAAAAAAAAAATCTATGGGCTCCACTAAGAGTAATTTTAGATTCAGGAATTGACCTGTTAATAATTCTAGTGTGTTTGATAAAATATCACCTGCACTAAGGCTCCAGCAACTAAGAAGTGTTCCCATGTGTGCATTTTGTCTCCTGTTTCTGTCTTTTCTGAATGTTCAGCTGGAGTCTTAGTTAAGTTTAACACAGAAAGTTTCCTACCACGATCGCCCAGACTTTTTTACAAATGGAAGGGTTTGTCCCGCCATGCTGCTGCAGTTGGAGGCAAGTGCCAACATCTGTATCTGCTCTGTGTCCTTCCAGGGTTCTCCTGGCATTCCAGGCAGAAACGGTGCCCCTGGCCCTCCAGGACAGCCAGGGAGTCCTGGAGCTCCTGGCCCGCCCGGTGTCTGTCAGTCGTGTCCCAGCATAAACGGAGGCGTAAGTCATCATTACGTTCAGCTTCTACCTTGTTGCTCATAAGGATACAAAGCTGTACCGTAGGCACCTACCCCTTGCACCTTCACACGTACTTTGCTTTCAGTGGCACTTGTCTCTCATTTGCACCTTTGGAAAACACAGCTGAGTGGTAGGTGGGGGTTTGCTGTTGATTTGGGGGTTTCGCCACAAAATTTGGCTGAAGTGCAGTTAAATCTCTGTTTTATCTTATTTTATTAAACTTTTGGAACCAGATCTGATCAAGGACTTATGTAACTCAGAAGTAATTGGACCAGAAAGAAAGTTAGCAGGAGGAAGTATGTCCCCTCAAGCTTAATGTGTAGTGAACTCTCTTACTATCCTATATTTTATCCAATGCTTGTTTAATAAAAAAACATTCCCAGGAGACTAGACTGAAACACAGCTCCTCTGCTTGCAGGGAAGTGCCATGTAAGTAATATTTGTCATGGTCCCTCTTTATTTCTGGCCCACTGAATCTTGAATTCTGTTCTGAAGAGCTGGGCAGACTCAGCCAGAGAGCTAATTTTAGCTAAAGTTTGTGTGCAGTCGGATTTGTTCAGGGGGCCCAGCCACAGCTAGCGCTTTTCTGTTGTCTCCCATGCAGTCGCACAAGCCTAGCTTTACAAGATGGATCACTAGCACCAAGCAGTTAAAATCCTGTGCCACTTTTGAACATAGGCCACTGTTTAATGCTTCCAGATAGGCTTCTCACTCCCGAGTAAACCAAAAACTGAGGAAAGATGTCTTGGGTTTATGTAATTCTAAAACGGAGTGCATCTGAAGGACTGAGCTTCTGGGAGAGGTACCCTTGGATTGGTTAACCAGTCTCAACAGACATCTCAGTAACATACCAAGAGAGCTACTGGGTTCGGGTGCAGACGCAGCAAGGGATTATAGGTTACCCACTCCAGCGCTGTATCACAGGTTTGCTGCTGAATGCTGACAAGAGGGCTGGTATCAGCACAGGAGTCACCTTGTACCAAGTCAGCGAAGGGGCTGGGGCCACAGTTCAGGCTGTCAGGAGATCACTGCATGTGTTCAACCTTTCCTGTGTGCCATTAATGCCGTATTATTCAATAGAGCTTGCATTAAAAAATCAGCATATGCCGATGAAGAGACTTACATGGGAATTCCTTTAAAAACTGACTATAGAATTTAGTTTCCTTTTTTTTTTTAAACTGCATTTTATGTAAATGGGTGTGTCAAAGATGCTATCTGCTCTCAGAAGGCCCACAGGACAGGTTTTCACCTCATGCCTTGGACAGCTACCATTCGTCCAAAGATAAATTGTCAAAAACATTGAAGCTTGGCTCCTTGTGCTCAAAAGGGGTGATTGTATTTCAGTTATTTGGAGGGACATAGTGAATGGGGAGGGAGAAAGGGAAAGATGAAAAATGGCATTAGGAAAAAAGCTTAATGCTCAGTTTTATGAGACGTGTAAGTTGCCATGCATGAGATTTAAAAAATTGATTTGTAATTCAAGGAAGGACAGACTTATACATAGATAAGAGGTTTTTTGCAACAAAATACTCTAAAATGATACATCCATAAATTACAGGTAAAAGAAATTAGGAGAGTAATAATAAACTCTTAAACTGTTGCATTCTTTAGTGCAACAGAAAATATTTCTTTAAGAGGCTGATAAAGAAAATTGGTGGAAAAACTTAAAAGGAGCCAAACAAGAATTAAAGGGGAGAGGGAGAGAAAGGTAATGTTTTGGCTTAGCTGAGGCCCAGCTGTCAAGCTGAAAGCTGGATGCTCACAGCGTAGGAAGCTGACATTACCATGACCAGAAAAGAAGGATATTGCTGGGCTTGTCTTGTGGGTGGTTTCAAAGTACGGCAGCTGTATGTCACATGCTATTCAATAGATAAAAATGAGTTATTTCCATACATTTGCCTCACCAGTGTATGAAAAGACAACCTCGATTTGTAGCAATCACATTTTTTTCTCTCTCTTTTTTTTTTTTTCTTCTGTTTTTCTCTATTTCTTTTACAGAGTTTCTCTCCACAGTATGACTCCTATGATGTCAAGGCTGGTACAGCTGGTATCGGTTACCCACAGCCCATTGTAAGATGATAGAGCCTTTTTTCTGTCCTTTCTGATTTTTTAAAGAACACATTTTCTGCTCGTAGATTATACCTTGGATGTGTATGTATCCTGACTTTAATTTAACAAGATAAGTTTTAATTTAATTGTTGCCTGCAAGCGGAATGGGATGTAAGGCAGCAGGGTGCTTGACAATATCATTCTAGACAGTAACTATACATTATCTGGGGTTTTTTGTCTTTTCTCTCTCTTTCTTCCATTTCTCACCTTCTTTTTCCTAACCTCTCTCTAATTCACTTTCTCACACTACTGGAACATTTATCCTTTTCTCCCTTGCACACCTTTCTCATTTATCTGCTTTGGTATTGTTCTACTAATTGTTTCTCTCCCTTCCATCAGTGTTTTACCCCTTCCACTGTCCCTAATCTTCCTTTCTGCATCCAGCAACATTCTGTCCTTACTCAATACAATACTCTCTACTTGGTTACTTTTCCGCAACTCAGATTTGCCTGATAACAAGTGAGTAAATTCCTCTTATAATGTTTTTTTTTTTTTTAATCCCAGAAGCAGTCAAAAGCTTTTCAATTTTTCTTTTTACATTATCACTTTTTCACCCACAGCTATTCAGACTGTGTACAGTGGATGCTGCATCTGCCTGCTAGGCCTGGCCCAAGATTTTCATAGATATTTTAGTGAGATAAAACGTGGATTGCCTGAGAGAGTTATGCATGAGCTGTGCATCCCATATAAAATAAAACATTGCACATCATAATTTTCCTTTTAGGCACCAGGATTTAGAGATATTCACCACCGATGACACGGACCATTCTTGATTGAGGCAATCTATTGTGTGGCAGATGTGATGAATCGCTATTATTTGAAATTGGCTGCTGCTTCATTAAGCGTAATCACTATTTTCAGTCCAGTGCTGCATAACAAGGTTTGGGTATCACATTTTGTAACGTATCAAGGCAGTTTCAAGCAAACGTGTTATTTCTCAAGGTTCCATCACATCATCTTGTGAAATAAATTTTACTAATCCTGACAGCTGTTTTTCCTGAAATACAGTTCATTATTTTCTCACCTTTATTTTTATCTGTTCATTTCTACCATGTTCATTTGCTAATATGATCATCCCTGCATTGGTTGATCCATACCATCCGTTTTTGTATTTGTTTATTCATTTATTTGTTTTCAGCTCCTCACAGTTGTTGCCCACAGCTTATGGTATCATCTACGTTTTGCTATTTTGTGTCTTAATATGGGATGTGCTGAACCAGGCAGAAAACCGTGATACCAGTCAGTTAACAAACATGGTTACTCTTCTTTATTTTGGCATGTTTCCCTGAGGTGCTTAGTGATTTCTTGTGCTCTGATCCTTGGTCTTGTGTTAAAATAATAATAATTTAATTGGGTGCCCTGGGGTGTCTTCAGCCAGAATTGTCTGTATGCCTTCAGACCATTTCATATGCTGTTTTATATTGCATCATGCAATACATGACTGCAAAGCCAGAAACAGAGCAGTTGCTGGCAGATGTGACTAAACTTGCTAGAACTAAATAGTATTTAGTTCTACTAAAATACTAAATAGTAAATAATAAATAGTATTTATCACTATGTAACATAGATCAATTTATTTATTAATTTTGAATGTTAATTTATCAATTTTCAACTTTAACTTTCAATTTAAATATCCAAAATTATAAGAGTAATGAAGTAAAAAAATGCCAGCTATAGGACCAACATTTGTCCATGGGTGGTTACCATGCCTGATACTTCCTCAGTCACACATCTCTCCACTATTGTCTTCCAGTGGCTTTCCAGTACTTGTAGATGATTTTGTACTTCACATCTCAGTTTCTCTTTACTTGCTCATATAACCTCCACATATTGTCTTTGCTCCTTTCCACCAGTGCACATATTCTTACTACAATACACTCATTTGTTCACAGTCTGGAGTTGCTGGCAGCAAGCAAATGCCACACCTAACTCTCAGTTTGTCTCCTCAGCGTGCTCCTTGAAAACAAGTAACATCTTTTTGTTTATAGCCATAAATCTAATCCATTGTTTGCACTTGATGAGTTGATGGTTCCAATTCATGTGAAGCCCAAACTTATTTTGTACCAAATGAGTTCTAACAACACATTGAAGGCAATCCGATTTCCCAGACACTAACTGCTTTGCCACTTGATATAGTTTCTGTCTTAAAAAATAGCAAATATTACAATGATTCTCCTTTTTAGAAAAAAGACCATCTGTGACCTAACATTAACGTAGTGTACGTGTAATGTAGCACTGTGCTCTGTGTACCAGTGTAGTTATCGAGATTATGTTACTGTAAGACGTGGCCTGTTCTGACACCATATGACAATATCCCATGAACCACATTATGTGCAATATTAAGCTATGGAATACACTGCCAGTATTGCAGCAGACAGTGATCCTCATGTAATTCACAAACTTCAGTTGTTTTGGGTGTATCAAACCCATGAAGATTTTAACAGAAGCTTTTTTTTAAAGAACCCCATTTAGCTGCAGTAAATCGTTGTGCTAATTTTTGAAGGTTTTCTGCTTTACAGTATGTTCTGGGTTCAGTCAGGAGAGAGTTAACTCTTTACCAGGGCTGCTAGGAAGCTGTGTTCCTGGATGCAGAGAGCAGCACTGATAAGTTCTTAGCTGGCACTGGGGAATGCCAGCACTGAGTTCAAGGTCTTTTTCCGCTTCTGATACTGCAGGTGCGTTCCCAACTCTAGCGGTCTCGCTACAGGCAGTGTATGGGACGCACAGTTCAGGCACCTGATCCAAACTGACCAAGGGAGTGTTTCATTCCATAGTACATCATGCTGGGGGCAGAGGCGAGGAGAGGGTCTGGGAGCCATTACTCTCTCCCTTGCTCTCCTGCTTTTTCACTCCTGTACCCTTGCTGGCACTCTCCCTGACTCCTGCGTTACCTGCTTTACTAGTTCCTGTGCTGGCTCGTTCGTGAGGGAGTTGGTGGGTTTGTTAAGTTTTCCTGGTCTTGATATCACTGATAGGGTTCGCTCGGAATCTGCTGCGACAGCACTTGGGCTCTGGCCCTCGGGCTGCGGCTCTCGAGCTCTCTAGGCCTGACTCTCAGTACTCAACACCTGTCGTGCATTGGTCAGTGGGTGGTG